CCCTGCTCGTGGTCCCTTGCCTGTGTATGGCCCCGTGGTGGCACCTATGGTGGCCCTCGTGGTGGCCCCCATCCCAACGTTGACCTTGTGGTTGAGCCTGAGGTGTCCCCAAGGTGTCCCCAATGTCCCCAAGGTGTCGCTAAGGGTGGAATGAAGGTCCCAAAGAGGACATGAAGGACCCCAAGGTCCCCAGGGTGTCTCCAAGACACTCAAGAACAACCAAGTTCTCTTATAGAGATTCCTCAACCTTGAGAAGACCCAAGACCCCCTGTCCAAGAACCTGAACCCAAGGGACCCAAGAGCCTCCTGAGGTCCCCAGTGTCCCCTCAAGGTGTCCCTAAGGGTGGAATGAAGGTCCCAAAGAGGACATGAAGGTCCAAGGTCCCCAGGTCTTGGAGACACCCAAGAACGACCCAAGTTCCCCCATGGAGGAACCTCAACCTTGAGGAGACCCAAGAGTCCCGACCCAAGAGCCTGAACCCAAGAGACCCAAGAGCCTCCTGAGGTCCCCAATGTCCCCATGGTCCCCTCAAGGTGTCCCTAAGGGTGGAATGAAGGTCCCAAAGAGGACATGAAGGACCCCAAGGTCCCCAGGGTGTCTCCAAGACACCCAAGAACGACCAAGTTCCCCCATAGAGATCCCTCAACCTTGAGGAGACCCAAGACCCCCAACCCAAGAGCCCTCCCAAGGTCTCCAATGTCCCCATGGTCCCCCCAAGGTGTCCCTAAGGGTGGAATGAAGGTCCCCAAGGTCCATGGGGTGTCTCCAAGACACCCAAGAATGACCAAGTTCCCCTATAGAGATCCCTCAACCTTGAGGAGACCCAAGACCCCCAACCCAAGAGACCCAAGGGGACCCGGGAGCCCTGTTGAGGTCCCCAATGTCCCCATGGTCCCCTCAAGGTGTCCCTAAGGGTGGAATGAAGGTCCCCAAGTCTCTAGGACACCCAAGAATGACCAAATTCCTCCATGGAGGAACCTCAACCTTGAGGAGATCCAAGAGTCCCAACCCAAGAGCCTCCTGAGGTCCCCAGTGTCCCCTCAAGGTGTCCCTAAGGGTGGAATGAAGGCCCCCATGGGGTGTCTCCAAGACACCCAAGAATGACCAAGTTCCCCTATAGAGATCCCTCAACCTTGAGGAGACCCAAGACCCCCAACCCAAGAGACCCAAGGGGACCCGGGAGCCCTGTTGAGGTCCCCAATGTCCCCATGGTCCCCTCAAGGTGTCCCTAAGGGTGGAATGAAGGTCCCCAAGTCTCTAGGACACCCAAGAACGACCAAATTCCCCCATGGAGGAACCTCAACCCTGGAGGGAGACCCAAGACCCCCAACCCAAGAGACCCAAGGGGACCCAGGAGCACAATGTCCCCTCAAGGTGTCCCTAAGGGTAGAATGAGGTTCCCCAAGTCTTTAGGACACCCAAGAATGACCAAGTTGCCCCATGGAGAAACCTCAACCTTGAGGAGACCCAAGACCCCCAGGTGTCCTCACCGTGTCCCCATCCCCTTGCGCAGGCCAAAGCGGCGCCGGCAACAACTGGGCCAAGGGCCACTACACGGAGGGCGCCGAGCTGGTGGACTCGGTGCTGGACGTGGTCCGCAAGGAGGCCGAGAGCTGCGACTGTCTCCAGGGCTTCCAACTGACCCATTCCCTCGGTGGCGGCACCGGTTCCGGCATGGGCACCCTGCTCATCTCCAAGATCCGCGAGGAATATCCCGACCGGATCATGAACACCTTCAGCGTGGTGCCGTCCCCGAAGGTGTCGGACACGGTGGTGGAGCCCTACAACGCGACGCTCTCCGTGCACCAGCTGGTGGAGAACACGGATGAGACCTACTGCATCGACAACGAGGCGCTCTACGACATCTGCTTCCGCACGCTCAAGCTCGCCACCCCCACCTACGGCGACCTCAACCACCTGGTGTCGGCCACCATGAGCGGCGTCACCACCTCGCTGCGCTTCCCCGGGCAGCTCAACGCCGACCTGCGCAAGCTGGCGGTCAACATGGTCCCCTTCCCGCGGCTCCACTTCTTCATGCCGGGCTTCGCGCCGTTGACGTCGCGCGGGAGCCAGCAGTACCGCGCGTTGACCGTCCCCGAGCTGACCCAGCAGGTCTTCGACGCCAAGAACATGATGGCGGCGTGCGACCCGCGCCACGGGCGCTACCTCACGGTGGCCGCCGTCTTCCGGGGCCGCATGTCCATGAAGGAGGTGGACGAGCAGATGCTCAACGTGCAGAACAAGAACAGCTCCTACTTCGTGGAGTGGATCCCCAACAACGTGAAGGTGGCCGTGTGTGACATCCCGCCCCGGGGGCTCAAGATGTCCTCCACCTTCATCGGCAACAGCACGGCCATCCAGGAGCTCTTCAAGCGCATCTCGGAGCAGTTCACGGCCATGTTCCGCCGCAAGGCCTTCCTGCACTGGTACACGGGCGAGGGCATGGACGAGATGGAGTTCACCGAGGCCGAGAGCAACATGAACGACCTGGTCTCCGAGTACCAGCAGTACCAGGACGCCACGGTCGAGGAGGAGGGCGAGATGTACGAGGACGACGAGGAAGAGGAGTCGGAGGCCCAGGGCGCCAAGTGAAGCCAGGGGGCCCGGCCCCCGCTGCTCCCCCGCTAGCCGCCCATAACGAGCCCTTGCCGGCTTCTAGTTGCTTCCAATTAGGGGTCCCGAGACCACAAGCGTTCGGTATTTACTAACCCTATCCCCCGTTATGAGTTAGCTCAGCCCCTGCCGCCGCTCCAGAGGGAGCGCCCCCCACTTTGTTTTTTACTGGTTTGTGCCTATTTTTTCTTGAATACTTAATAAATTTATTGCTGTCCAGTTGCCTGGTGTATCCATCTATGGTGGGCGGGCTGGGCATGTGACCCTCAGGCCGGGTCACCCCCATGGGTGACGCAGGTCCCAGCCCTAGTGGATGTGGGGGCACCTGGGGAGGGGGTGAGGGACATGGGCTGCCCATGCCCTGATGTTGTGGCCACCCCAGGGCCCTGCCTGTCCCCATGGTGGGGTCCTTGCTGAGCCCTTAGGTGTGGGGCACAATCCTTGGACCCTGTGCAGGGACAGGAGCACCCCGGCCTCTGCTGCACGGAGATGAGGAATGGGGGAGATGGGCAGGGGGACAAGGGGGAGGGCACTTGTGGCACCAAGGGACAAGGATGGAGGGGGAGGCTGTAGGGATGGGAGACAAGGGGGATTGGGCTATGGGGACAGGGGATTTGGAGCAAGGGCACTACAGGGAAAGGAGCAGGGGAGAGTGGGGGTGTCCATGGGGACAAGGTGCCCAAAGAAAGGAGCAGGGGAGAGTGGGGGTGTCCATCGGGACAAGGTGCCCAAAGACTACGGGGGGGCTGGCCACGGGGATGGGGGGGCGCTGGGAGAGAGCACTGGGGAGGAGCCCACGGGGACAAAGGGCCGTGGGGCTAGCGGCGCTAGGGAGAGGGTCCACAGCAAAGGGAGGGGTCTGTAAGGACAAGGGACAAAGGACAAAGGGGACGGGAGCCACGGGGCGGGGGGACACGGGGACAAAGGGGCCACGGGCACAGCCCGGAGGGACAATGCGGGGACCGGGGACAGCAGCGTCACGGGCCGCCCCCCCGCGCTGCGGCTG